GTTTTTGGTTTGTTTGTTTGTTTTTTTAATAATGTATTAGTAGTGTTAGTTTTGAAACAGGGAAAAAGAGACACGGTGAGAACAAAACCAAACAGTTCTCAGGGATGTCACCTGTACTATCAGCTTCTGTAGGGCTGTGGGAACAAGACAAAGGTTCTTCCTCTGAGTCAGAATCAGAATCGAGAAGCATGCGAGAACTGGAAGGCTTAGTGGCAATACTGACAGAGGTAGAAGAGTGCTGGTAGGTAAAAGACATGGATTCCATAGTGTGGGATTGAGTGATATGGACTAAACACAAAGCACAAAGGAGGAAAAAGGTAGAAAAGAAGTCAAAATAGAATGTCTAAGAAGAGAGTATTAGTTTTACATTTCATCACATAACACAGTAATTGCCAAGTAACCACCACAATAAAGTGGAAAAAAATACTTAGTTTTAATGGGGTACAATAGAATTTTTAAGAGAAATTTATTTAAATAAATGTAAAATGGAAGTATGATTACAGACAGATATAGTTAGTCAGTGGATAGTGATCACTATCAAAGCATTGATAAGATGGCAGAAACACATGAAGATGAAGAGACACAGTATCACCAGAGGGTTACTTTAATAGTTCAGCTTCTACAGTAAAACACTGATCTAAAACCAATTAATGCAAAAGTATTAATGAACTTCACTTACCAGGGAATCCATCATCTGTCTCAGCATCTCCAGGTCCACTGCCTATGCTACTGTTGTCTAGACCAATGTGTAATGACTGTAGCTGCGAACGAAGCTGTTCAATGTCACTGTCTTTGCTGTCCAGGGTCATCTGGAGTTCAATCCGTATCTGACTCTCTTCTGCTATTTGCTGAAGGAAAAAATTACAAGATTTCCTATTATCACAATACTCAGTTACTCAGAGAAAATGTAAGTAGAAAGTTACGCAGACTTTGCAGCCAATCTCTCTCTGTATATACCCTGCATATTTCTTTTGGTCATGGAAAATTCAGAAACAGAGATGACATATGCTGCCTTAAAGCCTGTACAAATTCAGTGAGCATTACAGAAAATGCTATCAATGTTTATATGTACAAAAGGATCTTACTGCCTGCATTTCATTGATTTCCTTCTGATATTTGATCATCATTTGGGTTAACTTTTCTCGTTCAGACTTCAGTTCCATATGCAGTTTCCTATTTTCCTTCTCCTTACGCCGTACATCAGTGTCAGCTCCACGTTTGACTGGACCCTTCCGATTCATGATCTCAGCCAATTTATTCACAGCCTTCCCATGGGGAAGAAAAAAAAAAAAAAAAAGACAAAAAAACACCAATAAATAAATTTAGTTATATCCTGAACAAATAAAGTCCCCTCTCCTATCCATGACCAGGCACCTTTATTCTAACTGTAAACTGACCCCTGCATATCCAGTACTATAAAGTTGCTTTAATTCAATGTACAATGCAAAATTGAAAAGAAAGTAATCATGCCATTTTCACTTTCAGCAAGCATTTGCTTTGAACATTTCTACTCATTTAAGTAATCTCTTCCGCTTCCAATAGCTAGCCTCAAAATGTATCTTTGGATTAAAATGCCACTTGTTCTAAAAAACAATCTGAATTAAAATCCGAAATACACTGTTTTATGGAACTTACAGAGGAATATAAATCAAGATAGAAACCAATAAAATATTAATTAACTTGACTGAAATCAAGATTTTTGCTGCTGGACTGCATCTGGATTAGGAATTCATCTATAATAAATGATGAGGATGCAGTTTGTCTACACTGAAAGTCTACTTAGTAGAAGAAAAAAAAAGATCAATATATTTTGTTTAAGGGGCAAAAAAGAATAAAGTGTTGTCGCAAATGAGTGGTTAGGTCGCTTAAAAGGTCACTCAAAGATTTTGCAAGAAAAGATTTTGCTGAAAATTTAGAAAACATGATTTTACAACGTTTGTTGGCAAGGTTCACTCTATTACTTATTAAATGAATGAAATGCAAAATCGAAGGAGGTTTTTAATGGAAAATGGTTTATACAGAGTAAAAGAAAAGTGTGAGGGGTAAGGGAGACCCTCCCGTTGAGTCACCAGGTTCGGAATGGCCCCCCTTGCTCTCTAAACTCCTTCTCAGAGAGGAGCCTGGGTGCAGCTGGATCCAGAACCAGCCTTTGACTACAATGGTTTATATCTAAGGAATATGTTTATCACCAATTCAGGGTGTGTTCACAGTTTAAAGAGAGAGACAGAATCACAAGGATTTAGCAACTATTAATCACTCGTCAACTTAGCATTTACAGAGTGATTAAAAAGAATTTGCTGTTACAATCACAGTAATAGAATATTATGCTTTGAATCGATTCACACTCACACAATGATAAAAATTCCTCTGGAGTTTAGTGAAATACTCACTTCAAATCAAATGATTTCTCAAGGGGCAAAGGTTGAGTCTCAAGGAGATCAGCCCAGGTAGTTTGCGAGATGCTCTGAGAGGCCTCCCACTCAGAGGGAGTTACTGGGCGCAGCCCACTGCAGACCAGAAAAGCTCAAAGGGCCTTCCTTGGTACCGCTCTTTGTAGGGTCTCAGGATGGCTGACTTTAGGCATCAGCAATATTCCATCCTTGCCACAATCCACAGGATGTAATCCTGAAAAGCTCAAAGGGCCTTCCTTGGTACCGCTCTTTGTAGGGTCTCAGGATGGCTGACTTTAGGCATCAGCAATATTCCATCCTTGCCACAATCCACAGGATGTAATCCTGATATTTAGACAGTAACTACACAATTCCAGCATTATCCAGAATGTACAGTTCTGACATTTATCAGGCAGATGTGACTCCAGGCATCAGGAGTTCCAGGTGCAGTCAGGGCACGCCTGATCAGCCCAACTCACTGCTCTTGTATAAAGACAAGGAAAGCACCAAGTTGTCCCAATTCACTGCTCTTATTCAAAGGCAAGAAAAATGGCCAGTCATGCCAGCTAACTATTCTTGCAGTGTAAGCAAGAACACAATGTTGGCTGGTTCTGGGATTGTCACTGCCAGGTGGGGGGAACTGAACCACCACAAGTGTTAACGGTATATATAGACAGTTTACCATGGAAAGCTTTCTATTAAAAATTATTTATGAAGACTACCTCTCCATTAATTTAGATATATTTGCTTACCTGGGTTTTCAATGTTCTTTCATTCAACAACTGTTTCTCAAATTGTGCTTTAATATTTCCTACATTTGCTTCTTCTTCTTTTAGCTTTGCATTTTCTGTAGCAAGGTAATTAAAAAAAAAATCTATGAAAGCTCATTACAAAAGAAAATAGTACTATTAAAGAACAAAACTGGTTTCAAATTAAATTACATTTGCTTCAGAGAATACATACGTTCTTGTACTTCCTTCAGTTTATTGTTTAGTTCTTCTTTCTCGTTAGCAAGATTAGCCACATCACTAGTTAGTGTCCTATTTGCTTCCTCCAACTACAAAAGAAAACGTACACATGACTGTGTAAAACGTAAAACAAAACACATTTGGTATATGAAAGCATTGCAGGACAGAAGGAAATGCTTCAGATGAAAGCAGGATAAAAATAAGAGGACTAGCTCTAAGAGGGGTAGGGGCACAGATGACAGAACAATCAGAGAGTTGCATGGAAGAAACATGATAAAATTTTTTTTTATATGTATTTCATTCACAGAAAAGAAATATTTTTATAATGTCAGATATAGTTGTATCTCATTTACCTCTAAGTATGGTAAATAACAATAGATAACTCCAACTGCAAACAAAACTCCAGCCCACGTAAGCCTCTACCAAAATCATGATTCATATTACTCACAGAGGCTATGGTGGCATCTTTCTCAGTAAGTTCCTGTTTATGCCTAGCCATCATCTCTTTAATCTCCAGCTCTTTCATAATCTTCTCTTTTTCCAAATCAGAGTACTGTTCTTCAGCAATAGAACGTGCAAGTTGTTCCGAATCAGCTTTTGTCAAAGTAATCTCTAGCTGAGCAGCCAAGGAATCTCTGCAAATCATTGATACATACATATTAAATCTGGTAACTTAAAAAAAGGAGAGGTTTTGGTGTGAGGAGGAAGGGAGTAAAAAAAAGTATGAAACAACAAAATGCCTTCCTAATCTTTTATGTATTAGTAGTACAACTAGTAAAACCTACCTCTCATCCTGTAACTCTTGTATCTTTTGCTGCATTTCTTTACAAAGTTTGGTCTTTTCCTCACATTCTTCTTTAAGTTCTCGAACTTGCGTCTTGTACAGAGTCTAGAATTTAAAGTTGGACACAAAAGAATGTGACTTGCATATTCTAGCCTGAAGGTACACAAAAGATGATACAAGATGACACTGTATGCGATTCTTTAATCACACGCTCAATTACAGCATAGTTGTGCAATGCTTTCTCTAAATTTAACTAAACATCATAATTCCCAAATATGTTTTTGTTATTTTACTTTTTGAGGTTTTTTTGGGTTTTTTTTCTAACTTCTGTATTTGTGAATGGACAGATGTACAACATACATTTTATATGTTTGTAAACATACTGTTAAAGAGACTCTCCGTGTGAATACCACTATTTGATAAAAAATCAGAAGTATCAGAAACAAGGAAAATCAGCGATTTATTTTTTTCTACTATTTTAGGTTTTTGTCAGAAGGAGGGAGGGAGGTATAACTCAGATTTTCACAATACTAATCCATTAAAACGTGACAGTTAAAGAGCAAAAAGAAGTATAGGAGGAAAGAACAGATCAGAATAGCATTTGAAACTCAGATTTTTGTGAAATGGATACAAATCTAGAGCTCTAGAGGAAACAAAAGAAAAATTATATTTCTCTGTACACTCAAATAACTGAGTACAGGTCAAGTGGATTACTACAGGGCTTTCAAAACAGACTGCCTCTCTCTGGCCCGCGTGCATCAGTCAACTGATCTCAAATCTCCCTTTCTCTCCTTCAGTGTGTGCAACTTGTTGATCTACTAAAACTTCAGACAGTCCTTCTCCTCACCAACGTAAAGACCACAGTAAAGTCTGAAGTTTCTTTAAATTCTAAAGCAAGCCTTTTGGCCTTTACCTGCAGCGTGACTGACTATGCATTGTTAAAATAAATTAACCTCCATGTGCTAGCGATGATTTCCAAGTACAGTACCTATTTGTTCCATTGCACCCTACCAAAATAAAGCGAAAACTCCCAACAGTTCTCTACCAAGTTTGGCTGTAATGCAAAAATTTCCTTCCAAGCCTTAAATACACGTTTTGCCACGCCACGTGATTCTGAGAATACAGCTCTTCTCTTCCACACAGCATGGAAGAGATGCTGATTGCAAAAGGCTTGAAACATGCAGAAAATTATTTACACTGTGAAAGAGAAGGAATGAACTGCTTGAATCCTCCTCCCTCTAAACTCTGTTTGGGACTCCCTTCCAAAGCTGGGTCATTTCTTAACATAAGCTCTTTCACACTGCTCAGTGATCAAGAACAAGCAGGGATGACAAGGCTGCGAACAAGACTGAAGACAGAAACAAGAAAAAGAATTAGCTTTAAGTTAGAGGGTGTGAAACACCTGATGGCTCAGGAGGAAGATGCAAAGCTAACATTATACTTGGTAAACAGATTAGTATAAAGAAGCATAGTACCGAAAAGTACTGTTCAGCTTCAAGTTGGTCTTGAAGCTCCTTCATTTGTCCATCTGCATCTTGGCGTTCCCTAGAAAAAAACAGCATACTTTAAAAGAGAAGATATGAAGATATTCCAAACTAGTAAACAGAAAAGAGAGCATTCGCACTCTTAAGATCTTCAGTCATTTCTTGACCAAAGTATGGTTGGCAATAAAACCTCAGGCTTCCTCTGGGTACCAGCTCTCTCTTTCACTTCTACAGCTGAGAACACTGCACTCATAAGACGTCAGATTAATACTGTTAAAATGCTAACTACAACAGTGCCGCATACATAAACCAGTAAGAGACACTGATAGAGCAAACAGCCACTGACAGAATCTTCTTTCCAGGTAAAACGTCACTGATCTGACAAATTGTTTTAGGGCTTTCATTGGCTAGAGCTCACTCTGTGAAAACATGTTTGTATTCCTTGACACACATCATTTATTGAATTAATCTGTCATTAAAACAACTCAGAAAGTCACTTAGTCAGTCCCACAACAAAGAACAGAAATGTAGCATTTCACATTACAGCAACTGTCACGTGTAGCTGCCTTTGACCTGAGTAACTGCATCTTGCTCACAGGAAAGGCAAAGCACAAGGCAATAAACTGTCAGAAGTCACACAGGAGCTAAGAACGAGATGCGTCCAGTGTATGTGCTAAACGGGTCTTCTCAGCCACAAGAGTGTTCTTCGTGTAAAATTTCATCTATGTATTTATGTGTTTATTTATGATCAGTTGCAGATATTGCTTGTAAGACCTTGAAGAACTGCTGTGATGTAACACAACTCCTCTTTCAAGGCTTCAAGGCCCACCAGATGTGTTTAAACATCCTTAGTACTGGATATTTCCAACGGGCACGTTTCACAGCTCTGTATTAGCATTACTGTCCAACTCCTGGACTAAAGCTGTCAGTAACTTTTCTCCTCACTGAAGTCCTAAGTTATTTTTAAAATAAGTGTTATTTTAGATAAGTATTTCTCTGAACTCACATACTGCTGTTCTACATATTGCAGAATCACTAAAGCAAACCTCAAATAGAGTCACTGTACATTATTTTAAACAACAATTAAGTTTTCCACTGTAGGACAGCATATTCAGTGCAGCTAATTTTTGACATTTATATGACTCTCATTTTTTGCCCAAATCCAGTTACAAATCAGTTTACTAAAAAAAACTAAGCAACTCAGCATACTTGCGGAGTTCGTTATTTTGTTTTTCCAGACTTAATTTGATTTCCTGAAGGTGGTTATTCTCCTGTTTTAGCTGCTTCTCTGACATTTTCAAGGTGTTGACCTGTTGCGTCTGCATCTTGAGGTCATTTTGCGTGAGACAACGCTTTTGTGTTTCTTGCTCTATTTTTAATGTCAGATTTTTTACCTGAAAAATACACAGAAACCTGTGAATCTTACAGACCTACACGGGAAATCAACATTTAAACAGCCTGTCTTACTGAGCTCCTCTACATTTTTGTACAACGTGCTCACATTTTTTGATGGACAAAACCGTTTCCTGAATAAAGGCACTGATACACAACAAATAAGCTAGCTTTTCAATGTCAATCTCACAGCATTCTACATTCCAGAAGAAAAACTTTTCAAGATCAATAACGCTGAGGTATTTCAGAAAAACGAAACCACACTATGTAAAGTACGCTTTTTCAAGCTTAAAATACAGAGAGGAAAAAGCTGCTGCTATTTTAATTCACAAACACTCCTAAATATAAGAGGGAAAATACTATGACATTGAAAACCAGGTTCCACTCAAGGTTCCTTTTATCATTGTTCCTTACATCTTCATTTAGTATATCCTTTTGCCTAAGGAGCTCATTGATTTTCTGTTGTGATTGTTTGAGATCACAGTCCAACATGGAGCGCTGCTTTTCAGCTTCTAACAACTGATTTTCTACTTTTTGCTTTAAAGCTCTCTCTTCCAGAAGTTTCTTCTCCATTTCTGTGAAGCAAGAGATTTAAGATGTCAGTCAGTGTGAACCAGGGGATTTTGGAGGGTGAGGGGAGGAGGAGGTCTATCCCATATTACCAAAAAGCAATGTTTAACCTTTTAACGCTGAAGAGAAAGATTGCTGAAAAGTGATTTATCAAACTTTTCACAGTAAACCCACTCCCAGAGGATGCTTTTGCAAGCATTCCTGACTGATAGCTATTTCCTATTTTTGAATTTCAAGATAACTTCCAGTTCACCTGCAACACATCTGAGATGGATAAAAAAGGTGAATTTTTAAAAATATTCCATCTCAATCTACTGCAGTGTTGCTTTGACTATGATAATTGAAATTATTGGACGAGTCAAAGCTGTTCAGGAACTGGATACGCTGGGTGATTCAGCCATTGTCACCAAATCATTTCTGCTTCTTGTGAACGTCTGCACGCTCAAAATTTTTCTAATGCTTTGCAATTGGAAGGACAGGATCTGCAGGCAGCTTTTTAGGTAGCTGCAATAAACCTAAGCCATTTAATTAAAAAGTAAGAGCCATCTTCTGGAACTGTTTGGTAATTATCCCTCTCTCCCAGAAATTTCAATTGTCATGAGATGCACCAGCATACGCATGGTGACTATGGGAGTGTAGCAAACGCTTTGCCATTTCTAACTCTATCTAGCCTACATATTTCAATCGTTAAGTTGCTGACACATACTTTATTCAGACACAAAAAGGTATGAGTACATGGAATAAAAACACAGATAAGCTCGTAACAAAAATGTTTCAGGAAGTTTTACTAATACAAATTTAAGAAAAATTAATTCAGAATACACTAGCACAGAAAATGAATCAGTGGTGTGTGCAGTGAACCTGCAGAGACTCCAAGACTAAACCAGTGCGTCTTTAACTTAGCAAAGCAAGGGCAAAGGGACTATGACTGATTTTTACGACATTAATTGTCTTTTCAAAGAACAGGGGAATCAAGGAAAAAAGCCTACACTTCGGCTTCCACTAGCATTAAAAGCATTTGCATAATTTACAACTAAGTTCAACTGTGATGTCAAATACATACCTTTCATAGCTTCAGATTTTGCTTCCTCTATAGATTCATAGATCTTGTTTTTGTCTGCTAATCGTGCTTTTGTGGCTTTATGTTCAGCTTCTTCTTGTTCAAGGTTCTGCTGCATAACTTTGAATTTGTATGTCATATCTATTTCCATGTTGCTCTTTTCCTGTTAAAGAAAAAAATTACATTGAAATAAAACACTAAATACATCAGGCTGAAGACAAAATTTTGGACAACAGTAACACGCTGCTTGGCAGTATGCTAGGAGTAGAAGAGAGAGCACAGACTCTAAGAAGCTAAATGAGAACTCTCTTCTACAAATGTTTTTCTATGGATGGCAAAGTGCTCCCAAAATGCACAATGACATCCCCAGCTGCAAACCATTATAGAATTACTGCATTAACAACCAACATTCTGTAATAAGAGCAGCTCACGGATTAAGTTTATTGAAGAATTTTTTCAATACTTTTGATTCAGTGACAATATTGTCAAAAAAATACTAGCAGCAGCTTTTTTTTTTTTTTGGCAATATTGAGAGTTTTAACAAAAAGACAGATGAAACGAAAAGTTACTACTGCACTGTTAAGCTACACACTGGAGTACATTATTATGTACTTGTTTTGGTTTCGGCTGCCGCTGGCAACAAAAGCGCCACGCGGCCGCCCTTCCCCCCGCCGCGGTGCGGAGGAGAATGGAAAGAAACAGGCAGAAACCGGTGGGTCGGGATAAGGGCAGTTTAACAGAACAGCAAACAGAGGGAACAGCAACAACAACGGTACAGATAAGGGGAACACACAGAACAGACCGCACGACCCCACAGACCTGCTCTCCCGGACAGGACCAGCGCCGCGCGCTCCCGAGATGCAAGTGAGTCCCCGCCGCGCTGCCCCCCCCCACCGGAACCCAGTGTGACATACCGGGCTCTGTTTGGCCAGGTGGGGTCAGCCCCCACCCCCCAGCTGTGCCCCTTCCTGGAGTCTGGTGAAAATTAACCCTGTCCTGGCCAAACCCAGGACAGTACTTTAGAAGCATAGTGTATTATGATCATAAGGGAAATGATGTCTTTTTTTCCCCACTTCGCAAATTGCAAACACAATAAACAAAAAATCCAAAGAAAAAGAATAAACACTGAAAACATGGGTTGTTTTTTGCATAGATTTTGTCTCCTTGTCTCAAGTAATAAAAGCACAAATTTTACAATTGACTAAGAATGTAACACCAATGTTCACTTGGCAGTGCTGTCACCTTTTCTAAGTCTGTAAGTTTTTCCTGCAATTGTCTCTTCTCCATTTCCAATTTGGCTAATGCAGTCTTTCCATTTTTCACTTCTTCTTCCAGGCTAGATATTCGACCTAAAAATGACCAAAATATCAAAGAGGCTGGGCAATGTGTGAAAAAAGCATGTACTATATCTACTTAGAGATAAAATTTTTCACATATAACAGCTTCTAATTCTGACTATTGAGAACATTTCCCTTTGGGGTGATTTTAAAAGTTATCAATAACATTTTATCTTCAACATGTGTCCACACTCACATAACATTGTATAGAACAGCACCCTAACCTAGTCACAATTTGAAGCTCAAATAACATCAACAAAACCTATTTTTATTTGTGAAACAAGAAGCAAGCTTGACTTCAGAAGATTTGCAGGAATACCTTGTAAGTCACTGATAATCTCTGATCCATGACTTCGATCTCTCCTTTCTGATTCTAGAGCTGACTGGAGATTGAGAAAGTCCTTCTCCAGTTTGAGTTTAGCATTCTCTAGCAGGCAGTTCTTGTCTTGTAGTTCTCTGTTATTAGCTTCCAGCTGCTGGATTTGCTTTGTGCTTTCTGTCTGGTTCTTCCTTAACCTGGCTGCAGTATCAGACTCTGACCGCAGCAAAGAATTGGCTTCATCCAACTAAGGATTAATAAAAACATACTTCAGAAACAAAAAATGTAACAACTACCGTTTCTACTACAGAATATTAGATTTTATGGATTAAAGAAATAAAAGGGAGTGTATTTTAATATTACTTTTGAACACCAAAACATGACAAGAAAACAGCTTTTAAATCGCCATTATACACTTCAGTTCCCTCCACTACTAACAAAATCTGTACTTCCAGCAGCTATTATTTTAAAATATAATTAAATAAAGTTGGCATGCCTGTCTTTGTAGTTGATTGATTTTCTCATTGGATATTTGAGAGTTCTGATTCCTCTTTTTTGAATCTTCAAGCTGGTCTTTCAAACTGTTAACTGTAACAAAAACAATGCAATACTGTTAAGTACTGCCATGAGAAAGCTTCAATCTGAACTATAATTCATTTATTTCTATCTTTTAAAAACTCACATGAAAACAGAACCCCTCAAGCACAGTTCAACATACCCTCATTTTCCAAGTTGCGTTTCTTATCTGCTTCGTGTTCTGCTTTTCTCTGGTATTCTGTATTCTTATGCTGAAGAAGAGCCTTCTCTCTTTCTAACTGTCTGACTGCAGACTCTACATTCTTCCTTGAAGTTATCTGGATATATTTTAAAAAAACCACACCACTAATTACATACAGAAGAGTGATCTTCTTTAAATGACAAAAAGACATCTGATGCACTCAGTTTAGTTTGTAATGGAGAAAGACAAAGTCTATTTGCCTGCCACAAACACAGCGTATCAGAACACATGGTCAAATCCAGCCCAGGATGACTACGGCCAGGAGCTTTTCCAATTTAAAGACTGTTTGATTGTTTAGATTTGACAGATCTGGTAAACCTGTCTAGCAGCCACTCCAGAAGCACAGAAACATACACGTAATGTAAGGTCTTGACATTCGCCTGGATGAGCAATACATTAGCTCGTATACACCCACGAAAGATACGACAAATCAGTAGTAGCACTAAGGCGCACAGCTGGGCAAGAAACACAGTCCTTTTACTGCCACTGTTCGAACAATGCAAAGAATGGCCTTTCTCTTCTAGCAACATTACTCCCATGTCTTCAATGTTTAGAATTGTATACGGCGTATCTATATCATGCTGTCCTCCGAACTAAAAACACGGTAAAAAGTTAATTCTGGAAACAAATGTGTAGTTGTAGTACAGAAATCATAATGAAAATATTTTAGCAGTGACAACAATTTCATGCTTGTGAATATCAAGAAATCAACTGGTATTACATGCAATAAAAACAAAAAAACTCAAAGATTATTTGCTCTTTCCTAAGGAAAAAAGCCACACATAAATGTCAAAGTTCTGATTCCAGCAAGAAATCACTATGGACTCACCTCTTCATCTAGCTCTTTCACTATCTTCTCTAAACGAGTATTAGTAGACCTGAAGAAATTTGAAAAATATTTTAAAACCCTGCTGATTATACAGAAATTAGAATGTTTGGATGTGTCTCATTAATTTTATACAAGATACACTATTTTCAGCAATCACGTGAAACATTGAGGACTGGAGAAATCACTCGCACAACAGAGAGGCTCTTATGGAGAGTTAAGGGGGGGAGAAAAAAACCCCAAACCCAAAAAAACAGTAGTCACATGAGTAGCAAGAATTAAGCCAGCAATTCCCAATGAAGTCTGCTTCTAGGGTCAGGAATCCCCAGAGTGGATTAAAATGCTTTTAAGCATTCAAAAACAAAAGGTGTAATAAAACTTCTTTATAAACATACCAAACACGTCAAAACCATCTCACCTGTACTTCTGTTCTAGTTCATCTTTGGCTTGTAATTCGTTACTGAGCTGTTCTTCTAGCTTGCTTAGTTTTTTCTGAAACTGTGTTAAATATCAAAAAAGTATGGCCCACATATTAAAATGCTATCACATAAAACAAGTGTAATTCAATTAAATACCAAAAAAAAACGGAAAGTGAAGAAAATTAATTCAACCTTCCACTGTATTGTTTTAAAACTACCACCAGAAGATTACATCTTTACAAGGTATTAATCCTGATGATTTCAAAGATACAGATCCATAGCAACAAAATTATCTGCATCCTACATTAAATCTAACCACTGCAGAATTCTGTGCCACAGACTGAGTCATAAAATTTCTATGGGCGAAGAATACTGTTACTGGCCCTTTGCTGTACTCTTTCTCTGTGGAGACTTTCTACTGCAGCAGAATTTTTGGGACAGTCTTTTCCAAACAAAATTAAAAAATAAAAAGGGGGGACACATGACCAAATTAGGCCATATTCACAGAACATTACTAAAGCATGTTCCATGACCTCACATAAAGAGCAATTTCTTGGTCTAACACACACAGAACCAAACAAGCATTTTTCAGGTTTGGGAATGCTTTGTTTTGCTTACTAAAACAGTAAAAAGAAATTTTAAGTCAAGTACCCAATATTCATGACATAAATGATAAATAACAAATTTGCGAATCGTCTCATGTCTTCAGGCTTTCAAAGGCATCCATTTCCTCCCTTTCCCCTCTTTCTCTATTCCCCAAACATAAAATCGAAAAATGTGAGTTTCTGAAACACTTTAGAATTGTTACAATTAGAAGATTCCCAGAATAGGGACACTGAAAAGGACTTGGAAACTGGTGATTCATTGCTTGAGAAAATACAAATGAAAAAATTTGTCAGAAGTGAAACGCAAAATTTTACAAACTACGTTTACTGTCACAATATAAAGCAAATAACACAAACGTGACACTATGTATTTTCAACAGCAGGAGCATTTCTTTTTAAAGCGGAAACTAAAACCATTAATCTATTCAGCAACGTCTAAAACTATTGACCTATTCAGCAATGACCGGAAGGAATGAAGTGGAGTCTAAAACATTTGCATTTAAATTTATCAAGATCAATACATAATTCATTTCCTTTACTTCTTTTTTAAACTTTGAAAAAGAATTGTAAGTTTTAAGCAGTGTTAACAATCAACTACCTACACTTGAGTAACACAACAAAGTAAGTACGTGAAGATTCCACAGCATTCTCCTGTGATCTGCAAATTTAAACTCAATTTTCAGTCTTCAATAGCTGGATAAACATGCTCCGTGCAGGCACTCCAACTGAGAGCATAATTTAAAGATTCCTTTATCACTGGAGGTGACAATTTATTTTTCTAAACTCTGAATAAATCAGTCATGAATCACTCAGGCAAGTCTGGAGCCAAAATTCACAACCTTCCCAAGAGTGATGCTGTTTGTGGCCTTACATATTTGTTTTCCAAACAAATTCTAGCTGCTAAAAGAATTTGAGAAAAACCTGTATTCATTCATCTTTATACTATAGTACCTTAATGCTTGAGTACAACTGCTTCAAAATACAACTGATTTACTGTTAACAATTTGGTGAACAGACATTTAAAATATTTCACATTCACACAAAGGAATTTTTGGATTCCTTTCATAATTCAAATAATATACTTACCTCCTTGCTGTCCTGTAAACAAAAAATACCATTTTTATTGAGGACCACTGAAAGACAAAAACCCCCACAAAATTTCTTGAAATCTTATTTTAGACTTTGCCTTTTCTTAACAAACTTAACAAAATCAGTTAATCATACCATTAATACTTACAAAAAAAGGCACTAACCTCGTTTTTACTAGATTGCATGGATTCACTTTCTCTGCAAGACTGAGAGGAGTCACTTAGCAACCTGTCAAAAACAAAAACAAATCCCTCCAGCTTTTATTCAAGTTTTCAACAACTCTGTCAACCTTGCCAGTCAACTCATTTTAATCAGTTCTCTCAAGTCTCAATTTGTCCTACACTATTGTCAGAATGAAGCTTGTTTTATTTCAGTGTGAGTGCATCTTTCTGATTTGGATCTTTAACATTTTTCAAATACTTAGCAGCTTATAATTTTTTAATACAATTATTTCTTACTGGTTCAAGTCCTAGCAAGCTATTACCTCGTGTAAATTTTTTTCTAAAGCTACTAATAAGCCATTTTAGAACTAAAATACAATTCTATATATAAGTATTTTAACTACATAATTTTGTGCATATAAAAATACTGTGTTTAAGCAGAGTTATTAAAACAACCAAAATAGCCGCAAATGTTACAATCTACTTAAAACTCTGCATTTTGTTTCTACACAATTGGACATATATGGACATAATGCAATTAATAAATTCTGTATCTAGAGTGGAAAAAAGGATAAGCTACAATCCTAACAGAAATTTCTAAAAATGCATATTAAAGTACCACATACAAATTGTCCCTATAGTAGGTAAATCCTATAAAAGGCAGCTGGTTTCCCACAAACGCTTTGGGGATTGGAAAGGTTTCCACGTCTCCCTTGTCATCCTCAATGTCATCAAAATTACTGCTATCTATATCACTGCTAAGCTCAGGAACGACAGGAGCAGCAGCTGTAAAAAAGGGGAGAAAAGATCAACTTCACTCCAAGAATCAGCCACTTGCTATACACTAGTATCTCTGTAATGTTAAAAAGGCTATAGTATAAGTTGTCCTGCTAGTTAAATATGTATTAACCATGCAGCAGATCTATAAATATTACTGTGAACATTTTTTTTCCTAGAGAAATCTATTTTTACATTAGTTGCTAATGCATAGACTATCTTATGTGCAAAATGTATTTGCTAAGGTAATCACATTTGAGAACAGAATTCTAAACGCAATCGTCATTTTAAGAAACTTGTAAACATCTGACTTCAGAAGCTACGATCAAGCTCATGATCTTTACTGAAATACTTTGGGTTTTTGCCTAAAGCTATCAAGTTCACAATGCCTTAAACGAAAAGCAGTAAAACTGACAATACCACTGTCAAACTACTATTGTAACTACAGAAGGTTAAAAAAAAATCCCAAGCAAAACAACAAAAGTCACAAATAAACAGAACCTAACATGCATTCTTTTTCCTTAGATTTCTAAAACATCCAGTTCTGTTGTTCAGAACAGAAACCTATATATTAAAAGCATGATAAAGGTGAGGATAATTCCAGAAGGAAAAATAAGTATTTACTAACCCTTACTGATAAGAGTTTTTACAACAGAAATGATAAATATGGAAGTTTGAGCAAGATTCTTGATAGACAGAAAATACTTCATTTATACAGCATAAAAGTTTTTTTTCTTTTCTATTATTGCAATATTGAATAAAAACAGAACTTTTAAGCTAATATACTTACTCTCTCGAATGTTGTCCCAGTTCCACTGATCACTCTTGAAGAAAGGGTGATGCTTTATTTCTTCTACCCCATTTCTCCCAAGTCGTACATCCCTAAACATAGCAATGAAGCCAAATTCACATTAGGAAAAACACTCTTTTTTTGTTATTTAAATTCTGACTTGCTCATAAGAAGCAAACAAACTTTCAGTAAAGATTGTCTGTGTTAACCACCTGAACGGTCAAAAAAAAAAAAAATTAAAAAAACCACCAACCACTGATCTGTAGGTTTTCATATAAACTGTACTCTGTTTCTTAGCATGCACTCTCCCTGAGACTGCTAAAATGTCCAGAATTTGGAGTCTGCCACGTGGGGACTAAAGCAAGAAAGAGAGCACTGAGGCAAAAACTATGAAAAAACTAAGAACACAAACAAAAACCCAACACCCTCGGGGAAAAAAAACTGCAGAAGTTCCATGTCTGCCAAACCACATGACAAACCTTACAACGCAAGTGAAGGGAAGTTGAACTTGCTGTACAGAACAGTCATTCAAAGTTGGACTGAAATAAATATTTTAAGAATTCCATCCTCTGTCCCATAACTAACCCTGACACATCTTTTGCTGATATTTGCAGTGAAGTAAATCTGAAGTGCAACAAGAAACTTTGACCACAAGAAGTCTCTTTTAAAAGTAGGACATAAAAACAAGGCATGTAGGAGCAGTAATAAATCATAGGGTTGATCCTTATTCCTCCTTTAAGTGCTTCAGCAGCAATCACGCATACGGAAATCGGGCATCTGTTTCAAATAAATCGCTAGAGCTCTGTATTAAATATAAACAGGAAGACGGACACACGTAGTGGAAGTACACCTCGTTGCATTTACATTACTGAATTCTACTCATATTTTCTCTCTACCCTTCAGCTACTAAGGGTGAAAAACACTCTTAATGCACATCCTTCCTGAGTAACAGCGATCTTGCTCAACGGAGCGAACAATCTCTCTTTCAATGCAAAAACCATTCTAAGGCAATTTTTTTTCCTAGTCCCTCACTCTGCAAAGGCAAGATGCTCTGCTGTAGCCAAGTTCAGGTGACCACAGGAAAGCGTAAGAAGGCATCATCGATCCAGAGTTAACTATGGACCTACAGAGTTCTTTTAAATCACAGAAATTGAAGATATCTCTTTTCTGGAGCTAAACAAGATCTAAGTGTTCGGGTCAAGAACAACCTTACACAGCATCAATAAATGGCTCAGTTTCACAAAGGGAGACCTCTAGGATCTATTTCTAGCCAAGACAATATCCTTGCTGGTTTGTTAGCTGTAGTTGCCAATTAATAGAACAAAGCAAATGAAAAAAAGCTCAAACATTCTAAGAAAGCTTAAACAAACTCAGTAAATACATGGTCATTATCATAAACGTATTTGCTTTCATTTTTTTAAGTAACACCCACTTCGATATTGAGCACAACAAATCGGTCCCTGCCTTGGGGTTTACAAATTACTTTCAACCTTACAAGTTTGTTACTGCAGTAAACACCACAACTGGAAGGATCTGCCTGGCACAAATTGTGTTGTTAACAAGAGCTGTCAGAACTGCTCATAGAAATAAAATGCAGTAACTGGAAAAAAACATCCCAAAAGAAAAACTCAAGAGCAGGAGATATTGCAGAAGAGATCTGAACAGAGATTAGGAGAAGTAATGGAAGGAATTTTTTGTTTTGTTTTGTTACACAATGTACATGCGCTAATACCATCCAAAATAAAAACAGCACCAGAATAATACGTGCACTTACCTATCAGTTAAAAAGGCACAGATAAGGTTCTTTGCATGCTTAGAGATTTCCACATCATCCGGGAAATGTAATGAGTTCTTATGATCCATAATTTTACTGTATGTTCCCACTAGTGAGTCTGCATAAAAAGGAGTATCGCCTGAAAATAAAATAGTAAATTGACTGTGATTTTGAGTCACGTTCAAGTCGTGTAAGTTGAAAAAGACAAAAGATATAAAGAAAAGTCTACAAGCAGTTTAACCTAAAAAAGTCTTCTATTTAAAAAAAAAAACAGTAAAATTGGAATGCAGGGTCCAAAATAATGTATACTACTAAAAATATTCCTTCACTAATATGCCTCTTACAAACTAAACCATTTTCCACCCTTCATATCACCACTAAAATTTTGCCCAGTGAATTACATCTTTTGCTCTACCTGAAGGCAATGACTGTGTTTTCTAATTTACATGATGGCAGACACCCGATGCCCACACAAATCCCCATCTTTAAGTGCTTCCATGGGTATAACGGACCAAAACTCTAATGCACATCTGCTGGAAAGACTCCACCCAAGCTCTCCACAGATCGTTTCAGAGGCACCCAGGTCTACCTTCGCTATCCCTGGAGCCGCCTAAGGCAAGGCAGCTCCAAGCAGGAGACTTCACAGTTACCGCACTGTTGAACCCATATTAATAAATATATATATATATTAGCTTGGGTGCCCACATTAACACAGGCAGGTGCCTTTAAAAATTGTAGACCTTTCTCACCCAAAGGTTTGCAGCGTAGGCTTTAGCTGAGTGTAGTTTCTTTGCAAATATCCTTAAGAAAGGTTAAATTGGGACAACTGAAAAGAGTTAGTGTCGATGACGGTAAGTGACACTCAAGTTAACTGACAACGTTCTGCATATATAAATGGTTCAGGTCAGTAATCACGAGGCTGCAGCTTTTACGTGAACCCTTTCTCCCAGCGAATCCCTGGGTTCAACGGAGGCAGTGAACAACCGATCGCACGAGCAAGGCTCTCCCCTCGGCCCCAGAGCGCTGCATGCAGGCGGGGAGCCGGGCAGGGCTGGCACCGTGCCGACCACATGCCTCCAGCAAGGTACTGAGAATTTGAAAAGCTGCATGCATGAAAAAAATATACAGACCGACCAACGGACAACAACTTTCAGAAAGAATATAAATGCCACAAGCCTACCCTTAGCCTCTTTCTGTCATTTTATGGCCAAATAAGAAGTTAGTAGTTACCAGCCTGAATGTAATACCTGGACTTTCAGTAAATTCATTAGGTTGCCATTCGCACAGTGGAGGGAGGGATCGCTGGTATTTGCCGCTGCCTCCCTCTTTCCAAATCCTCCCCTTCTCAGTTGTCTTTGGTCTCAGAAATGACTTTGATTTAGGGCGCACTTCAAAACTATCCTAAGTCACTGAACTAAAGTAGTGTTGGGATTCGTCCTTTGACCAACTTTTTAGCTCTCAGTTAAGCACACAATAAAAAGTAGTATTGTTTTCATTAGTACTGTGTCTACTAAAACCAGAACAACAGAACGCTTTCTGTGCTTTCTTCAGAGCATACATTTTTAGAAGACCATAAACAGAAACCGATATGTAAGCACAAACAAAACCAGACAGTTTTTACCATTGTGTGGGATATGGAGAAACTAGGTCAGATTATCAAGAGAAAACCAAGTGTGAAAGACCACAAAGGCTTTCAAAAGCAACTGTTGTTAATGGGATCTTGAAACTGATAAGACCATCTAAGAATGGAAGTGATAACACTAACATTGTTTTACGCTACATGTTGTTGAGGGTGAAAAAGAATTAATCTTCAATAGTCAAAATGCTACAGCATAGTAAAGGGAGAAGGGTTTAATCACAGGTCACAGTTAACCTGTACCAAATACTCCATACCATTTTATCGGTGCCTGTCTCTTAACAATCTGTGTGTGGCAGTAGATCTGTGTTGAATAGTCTCATTATTCCTAGTTCAAAATGCAAGGACCAGAACAGCTGCACCAGTATCGAAGAGAAGCTGCATGTTTTTCTCAGCACTTGGACAAATGAATTTGACCTGAGCCTCAAATACTGTGTTTGTGAACAAAGTCCCTGAAGGACATTATGTTGGTGCTGTCAGACAGGAAATCCAATTGAGATTAAAATATGACTATTTGAGAACACCAGATAAAAAAAATTACAGGGCATAACGAGGCCTGTATAAAGGTGAAGCAGGTTTTAACATTTCAAGAAGACTGCATAGATAGAAAAATCACATATCCATTTCAGAGGAAGAAAGAGGCTCAGATTAAAAAAAAAAAACAGCGGGAAGAAGGCTTCATGAAAAGCACAAAGAAAGAAGACAAGAACTCAGCTGAAAGGGTATAGTGTTAATCACACGTAGGATTAGACATTGCTAAAACCAAACAGAAATAAAATTGTTATTTCACTCCCATCAGAAACAGTGTCTGAAAAATCACAGAGTTAATGAAAGTGAAATCTCCACTCTAGAGTATATACAAGAAAAAAAAACATGTTCAGTACTGAAGAAAAAAGAAAAAGTAGTAAAAATAGCATAGCTTCAAATATTAAAATAAGATATACTTTCGGAAGAAAAATACGTGAGACCTATAAAATACTAGAGATTTTCTAACACTACTCCAAATTCTAGGAATGACTACACCAAATAAAACCCTTCAGCTTAGCAAACCATACTGAAACCTCGGAACAAAAACACAATATGTTGCACTGAAATGTGGATGGATTTGCTGATTTGGATGTTCAATAATTATATGCTTAATTCCATCCTTCTATAATCAGTATTTTGCTACTAGACTGTAATACTGATCGTCACTGTATTTTAAGATGCAGATGACTCATCTCCTTAACAGATTGTATTCTATCTTCGTTGCCATAGCAGTCTGGTGTACACTGAAAATATTCATTAGGAAAAAAAAAAAAAAAAAGAGAAAGAAAGAAGAAGAAAAAAAAAAAGGAAGAAAGGAAAAAAAAAAAAGTGTGTGTGTGTAGGCCCAGTCCTGCCCTTCCCACTCCATCTCTGCATCCCCAAAAACTCAGTACTGCCCTTGAGGTGGCACAAATGTTCACGAGATGATGAGGCAGCCGACCCCAGTTAAAACTATTTTTAGAGTTAGTTTTAAGCTGAACCCAGTCAGGGAACTAATCACTGAGCAAGCACGCGAACAGCTGTCGCAGTGTAAGAGCGGCAGAGAGCAAAGAGAACAGGAATGAAGCAACAGCACCAGCCAAAAATCAGAAGCTGTTAGGACAGTGAGGCACAAGCAGCCCCCCCTTTGCAGCAAAGTACAGCTCAAGGCATAGTAAAGACTCAGTGATAATCTCATTAGCAGAAGAAACCACTACTTACCAACTAGCATCTCAAAAAGGAAAACTCCTACAGACCACCAGTCACACTCCCGTCCGTAATAACCATCACCCCCTTGCGACTTCAAAACCTCGGGCGATATGTAGTCGGGGGTTCCCACAGCTGTATCGCAGCGCACCATACCTGTCTGCGCAAGAGCAACAATTCAAACAGCTCAATTAAAAATACTTCTGAGCCTTTAAACAATTCGTCTAATAGTAGACCAGAAAAACATAAAAAAATATAGCCCAAAATATTTAGTTCGAGGAATGTGTCTGAAAGACTCGGTTTTTTACTCCAGAAGCAATATAAACTGAAATGACAGTTCCTGGTAACGTGCTCTCCCCTGACTACTCCATAGTGGTTTTTCTTGATTATGCCTTTCAAAAACTAACCAATTTTATTATTTTTACCATTGGTTTCAATATGAAGCTGCACACCGTATCAGACTGTTCTTTATCTCACTGAACTCACTGACAAACTTCAGAATAATTTTGACAAGCTATGAGTTCTAGGCCCTACATAGCAGATACAGAAGAGTTTTGTCCAATTCAGACAATAAATCAAGTTATAGGTAAATTTTTATAGTTACACCTTGTTTGTTATTTAAAGATAGGGGAAAAAAAAGAAGGAAAAAGCTATTTTTAAAGAATAGCAAAGCTTTTTTTTTAAAGTTATTTTTATTAACATATTAGCACAGTTGTACTAATGGAATGAGTCTTCATCCTCTTTGCTTCACACTGGGAGACTAAATATGCAGGGGCTAAATGATGCAGAAGCATCGTCAGATCTGCCAGCATGCTGGTTCAGACTTACACGCCTTGTTCCCTTTAATCAAATTCTCTGCATTCATTCCAGAGAGACCAGATGGATGAGTGAAATGAAATCCTGGATGAAGTTAGAGAAGCACCAAAAATACACTCATCTTTTATTCTGCCTCTCAACCTGAAATCTTTTCTATGTCATCTTACAAAGTTCTTTGTGCATTCTGCCATCAGCATGAATGCAATACATGTTCATTCTGAATATTAATACAGAATATTAGTAGCAACAACTAAAGTCAAAACGCGTATTTAAAGAAAAGAACAGAAACATTTTGCTTTGGGAACTGTATCAACATGTAAAAGTAAGACACCAAATTAGAGTATTTCTTTTCAGACACAATATGAACTGCCAAAAGCTTTTATTTATACACTAAACCAGAATCCTGAAAAGTCATGAACTGGCAGGCAAAAACTAAAGTGATGACTAAACACGGCAGAGACCTAAGGAGTACTTCAAATGTCCTCCTGGCAAATGCCTATCATCTTCTACAACTCCATGCTGAAGCTGAAACCTAAAGGAAATTTTAACTTCCCAGTTTCAGAAAGAAGAGCAGGTTAGCTTCTGCTTTCCGTACTATGAATCAGGCAGCACATGGCTTGATAATCCTGGAATAAGAAAATGAAGTTAACTCTTTTCAGAAGACCTAATGCATTCTTTGGACAAAGAAGAATACAAGTGAACACATTTTAATGCTGGGAAATAAGCTAAAGCCCAAAGGCTCCGGAAATCTAAAGCTGAAACCATTCAAAAATGGATCTGGCACATGGCAGGCGCAACTATCGGATCATCCTGCTTGTAGCAGCACTCTGCACAAACCTACAGGTCCTCTCTGAAGCCTATGAGCCTCTCTGCCTTGAGCACTGCAGGAACTGCTCGAGGCTCTGTGATTCTGCTGACCTAGCAGGACTGTGGCATCTTAACGAGGCCTCCAACACTGGTGCATGGCTAGCTCTTCCTTATCCAAATGCAAAATTACAACAAGGGACAGTCTGAGTCTTCGCTCAGCGAAGATTGGCTGAAGGCACCTGAATCCTTCCCTGGGCAAGAAGCTTCTTTAAAAAACAAGTCACTGAAACAGTTCTGAAAGCTCTCTCTGAAGACCACAGCTTCAGTCACAGCCTCATCACCTCAGCACTTAATCACACCCTATTTCCCATTCCTCTATAATTAATATATTAATATTAATTAATTAATATTAATTAATTCTCCAAAAGGAGAACACTATCTGATATGTTATACATGTTCATATTTTACAAAGTCTTATGCAAACAAATCAAGGTTGTGCCAAAAAAAAGCCAGCCCTGCCCAAGCCTGATGGCTGGTACGCAGCAACAAGGAAAGTTCTTTCCAATGGCACTGCAGATGCTAAAGAACTCCAGGTAACAACATCTTAAGTTTTCAGACAAGATCATAGAATCATAGAAAGTTTTGGGTTGGAAGGAACCCCTAGAGGTCATCTAGTCCAACCCCCCCACAGCGAGCAGGGACACCACTAACTAGATCAGGTTGCTCAGAGCCCTGTCCAACCTGGTCTTGAATGTTTCCAGGGATGGGGCCTCCACTACCTCTCTGGGCAACTCGTTCCAGTGTTTCACAACCTTCATTGTAAAGAATTTCTTCCTTATGTCCAGCCTAAACCTACCCTGTTTTAGTTTAAAACCATTACCCCTCGTCCTGTCACTGCTGTCTCTACTAAAAAGATTGTCCCCATCTTTCCTATAGGCTCCCTTTAAGTACTGAAATGCTGCAATCAGGTCTCCCCACAGCCTTCTCTTCTCCAGGCTGAACAAGCCCAACTCTCTCAGCCTGTCCTCATAGGAGAGGTGCTCCAGCCCTCGGATCATTTTTGTAGCCCTCCTTTGGACCCGCTCCAACAGTTCCATGTCCTTCTTGTGCTGAGGGCTCCAGAGCTGAACGCAGGACTCCAGGTGAGGTCTTGCCAGAGCAGAGCAGAGAGGCAGAATCACCTCTCGACCTGCTGGCCACGCTTCTCCTGATGCAGCCCAGGACACGGATCACCGAAAATGTGTGTGCTGGGGGTCAGTGGAGACTCTGACAGCTCATGATGTTGAGTTCTAACAAAAATACACCCGGATATTAGCATCCACAGGACCTGTGTGTCCATCCTGCACCCCCACTTTGACTTCTAAAGAAACGTGCCTGGCAGAGGCAGAATCCTGATCTGGCCTTTCCCAACTCTGGGGTGGCTCTTCTGTTGTTTGAGCATTTGAGATGATCTCGTGTAACGTATGGCCTTGAGGGAAATCAAGGGAATCGGAGCAGGGAACAGAGCACAGCTCTTCTTAGCAACTGGGGATGACCGGACCCAGCTGTGCCTTAAGCAGCGGTGAAGTGCAGAAGCGAAGGAGCTGACCTGGGTGAAGTCGATATGAAGAGGTGCCAAGGCGTGAACAACATTCCAGCCACACGGAGAAAACCAAACTATGTCCAGTGATCTGGAGCAGAGGCCAGATACATTCAGACTCAGTCAGATGCCCTCCTGTTTTTAGCTGGTGGAGGCTGTGAACCGCTGTGACCGTCCACCTGCAGTAGCTGCTGGACAGTAGGTTCTCCATTGCTGGAAATCTCCAAATCAACGCAGCAAAATTAATGCTCAGAGAGAAATTGTGTGCTTGGCAGACGCAGTCAGTGCTCGATTTTGCAAGAGGGCAGGTTGCATAGCACTGTAGACCCCATGTGCCTTAAACCCCGTGACTCTGTGAAACAGCAGCTGGTCACCAGTCCCTCTTAGCCAGAGTAATTTGAGAAGCTTTGTGGATCCATGACATGGGGAGCGAGGTGCTTTGCAGCATTGCTTACAAAAATCTCTGCTTCCCATGCAAATAAATGTGGGGAGAATTTGGTACTGAGATGAGGGGGCCATCCTTATGCCTTGACTTTGATCTGGCCACAAACCACTGAGCAAAAGAGATGCGTGAAAGGAAGGAGACCTGTAGCCGTGCAATGTGTCTCTCTGCAGCCCACCTGTTTCTCTGCAGGAAAAGCTTGCAGAGGTCCTGAGCTCAGGCCACCCCCATGTTTCCTGGACCCCGTCCCGAGCTGCTCCCTTTGCACTTGGACATGCACACGCAAAGCAGAGCAGGGCCCAGCAGAAACGCCAGAGAGGTGCTTGGTAAGGGCAGCCCGGTCTTCGAGAAGCCGATGCTTAATCCTAATCAGCCCAGAATTTTTCCTATTTTGCAGTGCCATGGCAACCGCTCCCGTGCTAACTAGCAAGCTGTGGCCAGGCAGAAACTCTTTTTCTCTTAAAAGCAGGAGCCCGATTTACTGCTTGACTCAGTAGTGTGACCAGGCTGTGCTGCTGTGCCTGGTGGATGGGCTTGGGCCGTGATGCTGAGAGGCAGCTTTCTGCTCGTGAGAGGTGGACGCATACTGCATAAATTCTTGATGCCTCATACGGCCGTCCTCTGTCGAAGCTGGGAAGCTTGGCGACAGCAGGAGCCTTGCCTCAGCAGAGGCTCCGGGATGGAGAGAGGCCGTTCACCGCTCGGTCAGCCTAGCAGGTGCCTCGTGGGAGAAGTTTCAGGACTGCTTGAAAGCTTGGCAGGATGAAGGTCCTCTCAGCCACTGAGATTCCTGTCTCCTGGCTGCCCTCTTCTTAGTTATGTTAAAGGAAAAGTTTTAAAAAATTCCTGTGGGACAAGGCCTCATGAAACTTCCCCCATATAGGAATGCTTCATGTCGAGCTTTTGTTGTTGGGTTGCTTCTTTTACTTCAACATCTGCTGGTTCTGGTGTTGGCATCAAGGCAAATGCTGTTCACTGAAGTCAGCCTTTAGCTGGAAGTGCTACAGCTTGCCGTGTTGCTTTTCCAGCAGATGTCGGGGTGGTTGAAGTCCCCCAGTAGGACGAGAGCCTGCGAGTGCGAGGCCTCCTGGAGTTGGAGGAAGAACGCTTCGTCTATCAGCTCCTCTTGATCTGGCGGCCTGTAGTAGACACCAACCACTAGGTTCCCCTTGTTACCTCTCTCTCCGATTCTTACCCATAAGCTTTCGACCTGCTCGTGGTTATTCTTCAGGGACAGCTCTTCACTCTGTAGTGTTTTCTTGATGTAAAGGGCAACGCCCCCGCCCCTCCTTCCTCGCCTGTCCCTTCTGAACAGCCTGCAGCCATCAAGAGCCACATTCCAGTCGTGGGATTCATCCCACCAAGTTTCCGTGATGGCAATCAGGTCATAGCTTTCCAGCAGCACAACTGCTTCCAACTCCTCCTGTTTGTTTCCCATGCTGCGTGCGTTTGTATAGACGCATTTCATCTGAGCTGTCGGCCTTGTTACCTTCATAGCAGAGCACTCCTTTTTTCCCTTGAGGTGCTTCATGGGTATTTTCTTGTTGGCACCTGATACCTCAGGCGCCTCCAGCTCCCCTCGGCAAGACTTCCACATTGCTGCAGTGTCCCTCACTTGCTGCTGGGCAACGGGTTGAGGGCTCCTACTAGCCCCCCATCCCTCTAACCATTGTGTATCCTCCCCTAGCCTGTCGCTGGCAAGCCTGATAGGTTCCCCTTCCCCCTTCACCTCTAGTTTAAAGATGTCAAAGAACTGAACAGTAAAACAAAGCAGTATTTCTACAGCTGAAAACATCAGTTGTCAATGGACTGTATCTCTCTGAAGCACGTGGAGTTGGCTGTACGTACTCCCCCTAAGACTCTCTACCTTCTCTGTCTCGGCAACAAATCCAAAAACACATTCACATAATCACAGGATGGCCCAGGCTGGAAGGGACCTTGAAAGATCATCTGGTCCGACCTGGCGTGGGAAGGGAGCCTAGGTGAGATTATCTAGCACCCTGTCCAACCACATCCTGAACACCACCAGTGATGGGGATTCTATCACGCCCCTCGGGAGCATGCTCCATTATCACTTGAATATAATATTCCCAGATTTCTGTTCCTCTCATTTATGTACTACTTCTTTCACAGAACTTGGGTGTTGCTCTGTATGTATTTTTAAGTACCGGATACTCTGAATACCACAGTCCGACTAGCTTCTGTGATTTCTGGCATCAAAGCCAAGCGAACACGGAAGTCCTCTCTGCGCAGTACAGGGCATCTTGACAGTCCCTACATGCTGCACGATGAATTCTGCCTTCTGTGCTTCAGCATTTGAAGAGATCTAAAGGGCACTGTTTTCTCTGGACAAAGTGTCACTCCTGTGTTTCAAATGCTAAGCCTCTGGTTTATGCCCAAGTTGCACACTTACTACAGCAGTTCTCATACCAAGCTTCCTTTCGGGAGTCTCAGGCCAGAGTTTTACCTGAGACTTTTCTCCGAATTAATCTCCTGCAGCTAAGAGAGATGTACAGTGCAGAGTTTTAAAACAGGCTGTCCAAGTGACACAGCATGTTACCACAGCTTGGCGGTGAGGCTGTAGTGTTTTCCAGCCTCTTTCAGAATCGTTAAATCGCTGAAGACAAAGAAGTTGAGTTTTCACCCTCAGGAGGATCTCCATCAGACCCGGATGCCTTGCTGTCTTAAACCAAGGCTGAGAATCAGGCTTTCACTCCCACATGAAGCTCTTTTCAGTGGACAAGAGCAGGAAAGTGCTTGTGTGGAAACATCGGGACAGCTCAGACCAGGTGTTAACACTGCACCCAGGCTTGTGCAGTGCGCTGCAGGCAATGAACTGAAGTAAGCAGGATCCAGCAGATGCTTGGACGAGCTTCATTGAAAAACAACTAGAGTTCTAAGAGGAGGAACACATTCCTTCTTCCAGCTAAACTGCCTGAGCCAAGGTGATAATCCCAAATGGTAAACCTCCCTTCTTTCAGTCACATCAGGTTTTTTCAACAGGTACCATCTAAACCTGGGCTATTCTAAATCTAAAAGCTCAGTAAGCACAGGACAGCATCGTGTACTGAGCCTGGCAACACCAGGAGTTCCTGGCTCTAGGATACCTATCAAAGCCAACTACTGTCCAGTTTCTTACAGAGAACCTGAAGATTAGAGTCTGGTGAAACCTCCCCTGGGCTACCTTATCATACCTAAATACCAAAATGAAACCACAATTCCTACTAAACTTTTGACGACAACTCTATTCTTTATTCAATTATAGAAATACTCACCTTGTTGCAGGTTTTAAAGAAAGGAAAAAATAAAAAAACCCCACAACCCCCAAAACCATCACAACTGAGTTACATAATCAGGTCAGTTCCTTTCGTGTTGGAAAAGATCACCGAAACACTTCACGTGCTGGTAAGAAGGAATTCTGCTGCAAGTGGCTGGCCTGGAAGACTTAAGAGGACATAGAACTCGGTTCCACAGCAAAGGTCAAAAACATTTCTCATCAAATTGCAGCAGAATTCTCCTGGGCTCTCAACAGCATAAGGAAGATGCTGATGTGCACAACTGCTAAAAGAACTCCAAATCAGAAAAAATAAGTAAGCACTGGGTAAGCATGTATTTTCTAGAAACCATCCTGCCAACACCAATATGATATTTACACAGCTGGGATGTGTTCATTTTTTGTAAGAAGCAGCATGAGATCTGGAGGCAATCCAGAACCTCTCCACTTCTAAAGCTTCCTGTATAAAAAATTTTTGCCATTCCATTGAGTCTGAGAAACACGAAGAACTTAAAATGTAATCTGTTAAAAAATTAACTTCTTCAGGAGATCACTGGTTCACTGACGATGCCCAGTCCAAACTGGAGGTCACTATAGCTCATTATAAGAAATGTGTATGCACGTCTTACATTTATATTAGCAACCATACATTTTAGTACTACATTCTTTTAACAACAACAACAATCAAAAAGAAGAAAGGAAAAAAAGACTTAGGTTCGCCATTTCTGGAATCCCTAAAATAGCGTAGAAGATCATCCTTTTATGGTAGATTTCTATTATGAACTTTTTGATGCTTTTTTTTGTTGTCTCTTCTGATAAACATCAGATTCCCTTAAGACCTACAGTCTATGGGCTCAACACCAAGATTAATTCTTTTAAGGACTAAATTAAGAGATCAAGTACTACTTTTGATTTTTTTCAACTGAAGTAAATGCTGTACACTAAAATACAGACAAGTAAATCATCAAAGTGGAGGTAAGCAATCTATCTACCTTTAGAATAACAACTACAGTATCAACAAAACCAAATAGACTACAGAACCTCAATAAACAGCTGTAGTTGTTAAATGAGGTTAATACATTGTTACAGGAAAGAAAAAAAACAAACCCTAACCAGAGACAGTACTTCTAGATACAGCTGAAGAGACACTAACTTGATGATGCAAATGCAAATTAAGTAGATTGCAGAGATTACACCAAGCACTACCTAAACAATATAGAAAAAAAATCTAGCACATTAAAGCAAATAAGCTTAAAAGGATGATCCTTGCCAACATTAATACAGAAACCTTTCAACAGCCATGCAAATCATAACACATTCCTATACGTTTTTTTTAGAATTTGCTACAATTTTTCACAGGAAGACCATATTGTGTAAATTACAGCATACCATTGTATGTCAGGGAAGATTTTAAAAGTGCAAACTACAAAAGGTAGCTTTATTTTTGAGTCTCCTTTAATAATATAAAGTATTATATTCTGATAAAAATAAAATATTCTTACACAATCTCATTAGAAAACTGTGTATTTGGCTGTACATCGTAAAATCTGGACAATTAAAATGTATGACATCTTCAGAAACAGCAAATAAATTTTAATCGCTATATCACATATCACTGCTGCCTTACTGTGACCTCATTTTAATGACCACTAGAGGATGCTATGAGAACAATTAGACACAAAAAAAAACCACCCATGGACTGTATCTTGCCTATAAAATAATTTCATATAGAGAAAAATGTAAGTTTGTGAAGTATTGCAAGGTTACTAATGTTGAAACTAGGAGTTGTCTCAAAGTTTTCAGTTATTTGGCAAAAAAATGAACCTGAGAAATTCATAAACATGCATGCTTTCAAAAATAACACAAAGTAAGTTTACATACTTCTTCCGTGTGCCAAAACAGTTTATTATAGACATGGTTACACTATTTCAAGTACCCTTGTATTTAAAACTAGGAGATAAGGAAGAGCTTTCCAACCAAGTGGACCATTTGCTGAATATTCCTTTGGGTATTCTAATTCATAAGAAAATAACCTTAGAATTACAGTTTTATTGATGGTAAATTATTCAGTTGTGTACTTACTTCATCCATTTTCATGCAAGTGCCAAAATCTGCCAGCTTCAGATGCCCGTATTTATCTAACAGCATATTGTCAGGCTTCACATCTCTGTGTATCAAGCCCATGGAGTGAATTGCATCAAGAGCAAGAACAACTTCGGCTGTATAGAACTTGGCCCATTTCTCAGGCACATCGTAATTGCTCATAAGGTTTACAAGATCTCCACCTGGCATATATTCCATTACCATGTACAAGTACTTGTCATCTTGAAAGGCACAAAATAGCTGCAACGTTTAAAAAAAAGGAAAAGAAAAAAAGCACAATTACTTTTCAGAGACAGCTAGGAAAAAAGAATAAAGCACTTTATCTTGAAGTTTCATTAAACCTGAGCATACGTTTTCAAGCTTGATGCAATTTTATTTTTTATATTCAGATAATCTACATATTCTTTTAATTATGACAGAAATTTACTGAACTTCGCACCCCCCTCATTTTCATTTTTAAGAAAGTGAAAAAGATTTCCTGGTTTTTTTAGCAGTATAAGCTATCCACGTTTCTTGGCATTAAAAAGTATCACTTGAGGTAAAATGTCAAATATCTAATCTGAGAAAGCAAGCATCCTATATCAATTTAAAAACAGCTCAACAGTGAATAACAGACTGTTTCTAAATTTCATATATTGTAAATATCCTTATCTGTGCACATATTTACAAAAACACTTGTCACTTCTGATTTTGTCCTACATCATGTATATTGAAATAAGGAAGGAAAAAAAAAATGTTCTTGAAGACAACTATAACACAATACAAAGAAATCCTCCTTAACAATCAAATAACAGTCTGGTATAGGTTGCAGCTAGTATGTTTCCTGTTGGTATAACAGTGAAAGTAAGTTCAGTCTCTTTAAAATGTGTTTCAGACCTAGAGTGCCGAGGTTTTAGAGATTTCGCTCAGTGATCACTAGGTCTAAAAATGGCCCAACCCAGCAAAAAGCATTACTATCAAATGTTCAACGACTGGTGTGAAAAAGTCTCTGAAAGTCTCTCACCTTATTTCTCAGGGAATACTGCTCCTTTACATTAACAATGAAAATCATTCACATCTCTAAGTTAACCACATAAAATTCAAAGGCAATGCAAAAACAGGATGAGCAGAAAGGAGGAAATAAAAACGGAGTTTGTGGAGGATGAGTAACCATGAAAGGCAGGAACGTTGTTAAGGAGATGTGAGCTTTAGATAAAACTGTATTGTTTATTAGTGACAAATGACCTATATTAAAATACGTATTTTAATACTTATATATGACACTGTATTTGTTTTCACAAATGGACAGTATTTACTATTTATATATGATAATGCATTTATCATTAAAACCTCAAGTAAAATCCAAAGGTCTCTGTATTTTCACATGTAAAGATATATTAATATAACACAGTAATAAATAAAAACACTGTGCCATTATACAGCACTTTCATTATTGCCCTCAAGGGATTTCATTTAAAAAAAAAATAATCAAAATTTTCTAGGGCTCTGGTTTCCCTTGTTTTTCAAACAAAAAAGAAGGCACAGAGAAGCAGTGTGATCTGTCCCAGTTTCTAGCTCAGAGCAGGACCTACATTTTCTTAAAACCAGCTCAATGTCCTATCCCACTGGACCACATTACCTAAATATATCACACTAACACACTTCATCACAGAAGGCACAGTTGCAACTACACTTTAATTCATTTGCTATTTACAAAAACACACACATTTCTGGCATGCTTGCTACACTTTCCTTTGAAAATTGTGTCATCCATTTCTGGTTACTTTCAACTGCATGTGAAAAAAAAAAATAATTCCAGATAATGACTGTCATTAGAACAAAACCAAAGAACTT